TTTCCATCAAACGGTGGCAATTTGAATCTCATATGATGTGTTGTTTCGTCTCTCGGTGATTCTTCTTTTACTACCGGATCTAAAGCTACCGTATTAACTGGTGGTAGCATTTTTGTGTTAGTTATCATGCTCTCTAACTGTTTGATCTTCTCTTCTACTTTTTCGAATGTTTTGGAAACTTCTTCAAATTTCTCATTATTCTTTTTCGAAGTTTCTTCCATCATTTGAGAAACATTTTCAAATTTCTCGTCGAATCTTTTTGACACATTTTCGAGTTTCTCGTCGTTTTGTCTAGCTACTTCTTTAATAATTTGAGACGTTTCATTGAATCGTTCATCATTTTTTTTAGAAGTTTCTTCAATCATTTGCGAGACGTTCTCAAATTTACTATCATTTTGTTTCGAAGATTCTTCAATCATTTGAGAGACGTTTTCAAATTTCTCATTCATTTTTGTTAAAACTGTTTCTTCTGATGATTGAAACTGGAATGTCTCTGGGTCATCTCCATTCTTATTAAGAACATTCTTTAGTCGTTCTTGGAGGACCTTCTTGGACCCGCTGCAATCTTCATCGCGTTCTTCTAGTTGCTCACGCAACTGTTTTACTGAAAGTTGTACTAGCAGCATCTTTGGTCGGGCACACACGTACTTTTTAAATGTTCTTTCGTACAACGATCACTACCGAACTACGCGGATGTTCCCGACGAACAATACTTTTCAAAAGTTCAAAAGTCTTTTTCAAAAGTCACTGTTGACTATTTTCAAATCTCACACCGGACACCAACTGTACCGTTTTTAAATAAAACGAGCGGTTCGAATTTATATAAATATATTTATTTATAACTTTACAGTTCGGTATTCTCTTATCAACTAAACTTAACTCCTAATTTCGTTACCTATATATACCAAAGTTACTATGTTCGAGAATATTCAGGATTAGTCCCATCTCTAATTCGTTATCTGACGACGGGTGGAATTTTACAGCGCTTGATATATGACCGGTAATTTCTCGATCCTTCGAGATGCATCGGTTAAATGGCCATGCCGAAAGCATATTCGTAACATTACATACAGAAAAATACTATAAAAGTATTAATCTACTTTCCTCTCAAACAGGACATACCGCCAACATCCGGTGTAGCACAGACAGCTAAACAAATTTTCTCTTGGAGGTAATTGGATAAAATTAAAGGTGTTTATAAAAACAAAATATTTTATATTAAAATAAACAGAACAAACGCATTTTAAAATTTATCAGGAATTTCTTCTTCTTCTTATAAATTATTTGCCTTATTAAAACAAGGCAAACAGTATCCAGGTTGACCAGGGCAATTGGAACCAAAAGTTATATCTTACGTATTTTTTATCCACTTCATGGTGACTGAAATTTCAATACTACTTAACGACAGCCTCTACATGGCTTTCGTGGAGTCCTTTCAGGATCTTCAGGTTTGGTAAAAGTATGTACTCTTTTTTTGTAATTGGTTTTTCTCAGGTAATTGTACTAAATTATAAGCTAACTGACATCTAAATTCTGTAATGCCCATTTTTGTTTCAGATCACATATTAAATATAATTAAACTATTAAGAATAGCTCTCTGGAGTATTATCTCAAATACTACTTTCATAAAAAACATTAATAAGAAAGAGATATTAAAATTATAACTTACTTTTTTTTCTTACCCATACCATTTCAAGCTTCGACGTAGGACTGTATGGTAAGATGACATCTGGTCAGAATAGTTTACGGCTTTATTTTCAGAGTTATAATTAATTATATATTTCGGTTTCACAATATCCTCTTTTTGCCTATTTTGCTTTTCTGTTGGAATCAACTGTTTAGTATGACCTGGGACACTTGAAATCATTAACATATCCATCGACTTAGTCTTAGACAGAATAATTCTTAGTCCATCTTTCTTTTTTACAACGACCTCTGTTCTCTTCATCTTCGTGGACTGGTTAAAAATAGGTAGTTTTCCTTTTCTAGAAAGAACCAAAATGACTATCTACAGAACACTGATTAGACCCGTAGTAACCTATGAATGTAAAACTTGGGTAATGAGGAAAAAAGATGAAGCCCAACTCAGGACATTCGAGAGAAAAATACTGAGGAAATTATATGGCCCGGTACAAGACGAAGATGGCACATGAAGAATCAGGAGAAACGACGAGGTTAATGAGGTAAATGAAGGTTATGACATTGTAAGATTTATGAAAAGTCAAAGACTGTCATGGCTGGGACATGTGCAGAGGCAAAACAATGCAAAAATAACAAAGAAAATGTTACAATGGAAGCCCATAGGAAGGCGAAAAAAAGGAAGGCCCAGAACGAGATGGTTGGATGACGTGGAAGACGACCTGAAAACAATTAACATAAGACAATGGAAAAAAAGGGCACAAGAGAGATCTGAATGGAAGGACATAGCCAGACAGGTAAAGACCCATCCATATGATGCCAAAAGAAGAAGAAGAAGAGGTATTCCTTTTCTGTTTCCTCGTGGAGTCCCACATATATTGTGGTATATCATATTTTCTGCTAACAATCTTTTAACGGCAGGTACTTCTGAATAAAAGTTATCAGCAAATAATATGTGGCCAGCTTTATCTGTGATACACTAAAGTCATTTTAAAACACCTGCTTCAGAATGTGCTACATTAACTGGTTGTTGTTACTTTTTTCCTATGTAAATACTTACATTGAAAGTATAGCCTTCAGAAAAATAGAGTTTGTATAGTTTCACTCCATATTTATGAGTCTTTTTGGGGATGTACTGACCAAAGTGAAGTGTCCTTCTGATGGGTACCATAGATTCATCTATATCGAGAATGTTGCCAGGCTCCAATTAATCTTTGAAAATTTTGAATCAACTTCGTTACTAAATTTTCTATTTTGCATAATCTATTATTGGTCTCAGATGTCTCAATATTTTGAAAATGAAGAAATTTCAATAAAAGCAAAACCCGGTCTCGAGTTAAAATTTGTGAAATAAATTTATTATAAAATATATTGTCCTTAGCCCAATATAAATTTAAATGTAGTACCTCAGTGCGATTATTACCTCTAGGAAGGCTCTTATTTAAGTTTTATGTGGCTGTCCATAAATTTATCCTGGTTTTTTTATTATGGAATACATAATTTTTGAAGAGCATAAATGTTGAGTTCGTTAACAATAATATCCAATATTTCATCAGCTACGAATTCTGTAGCGTATTCTTTCTTACTACAAAATCGTCACAATCTACATCTTCTAAATCACACCATTCATCACTATCACCATTCTTAGTACTTTGTTTATTTTTATCTGATGGAACTTGCTCATATGGTGTAGTAATAATTTCGTCATCACTATCAATAGAAGAGTTTATATCGGAGGATGAAGAAGATTTCGAAAAATAACTTTCATCTAGCAATGAATCGTCACTATCAAAGGGATCTTCGATACTATTGGAATTAGATGAAGATTGAATTGATCTCTGCTCATTCTCCATATCAAGTTCATCAGCTTGTTAGTTACCCATGTCGTGTTCTATTTCTGTTCGTATAAACTGTTGTTGTAGTAAATAAACCTAAAGAAGAAAATAAAAGGGAGAAAGTAATACATAAGAGGTATAACCTAATCAGTCTGATCGTTCAAGGGAAAATAGACAGCAGAAGGGGTGCAGGGAGGAGAAGACACCCGTGGCTCCAAAAATTGCGGCAATAGTTCGGATTGTCTTTTGCTGAACTATTCAGATCTGCCGTAAACAAAGTTAAAAGAGCCATGTTGATTGCCAACCTTCGAAACGGACAAGGCACATGAAGAAGAAGAAGCTTAGAACAAGAAAACGTGAGAGAATTATAAAGAAATAGAATAAATCAAAAGGTGAAAGCCAAAAAATGTATTAATAATGAAGAACATTACACTCACATAAAAAGGTGTCTCCAGGTGGAAGCAATACAAACCATTGGATACCAAATCCAGAATCAAAGAAAACTTCCATATTGGTTTGACGAAGAAAGAGAACAAAAGATAAAAAAGAAAAGAGACCAATATTAAAAATTCATAAATATAACGAATATAACGGATAAAATAATCTACAAGATGTCTTAAGCTAAAGTACAAACAATGATATGTCGTAAGAAAAATGAATCATGACAACAAAAGTGTAACATCATAAATTCACATCTAGGAGATCACAGAAGCACAGAAAGTTGGAGAGTCTTAAAATTTTACGACAAGATAAAAAAATATGACAATGGATCCATCGAAACACAAAATATAAATATTTTACCTTCGCCCATACGAATAACAACGACAGAAGTGGAAGATGGATGTAGATCTCTAAAAAATAACAAAGCACCAGGTCCAGATAACATCCCTGCAGAGTTAATTAAACACGGTACAACCAAACTATATACAAGTTTAGCCAAACTTTGATATAATAAAAGGCAGATATCGAGCACCGTTTTATTAATTAAATCTTGCCCAAGTACTTTCGCTTCATAGAACATCTTCTGGGGCATTTCGTCAATTTTGGACAATCCAATAAGCGCAGAATGGCATAAACATAAAATTGTACATAACACTACACTAAACAAGGACAAACAGTTTAAAATTATTTAAAAAATTAATCGAAGCTATATTCTGGTCGGAAACAGGAGAGAGATTCATTCCAACGTTATTTCGTACAGTTCAATTTTAATTACCTATTGGTTTTGAATCAATAAAACAACGAATATCCGGTATAATTTGAGATCTACTTGTTTCTATATATAAAGTTTATTCGACAGTACGTACAATTTTGTAATTTTAAAAATAGCTTACATTTCACCTACCTTTCCAAAAAAAATTCGGAGAGATTCGAAAGTTAAGAAACAACTTCTACATACTGGACTATTCTTGTACTCTTTTCATTCGTTCTTAAACAGTTGGGAGTCTATAGATAGATTAGTCTTAAAGAAAACGTTCGATTGTAAAGAGTGCTTTTACCAATTTAATTATACTTTTTATTTGATAGCGTTAGGCGTATTCAGAAAAGATGCCACTGAGAATTGACTCAAGAGCTGACGATGTCGACAAACATGAACACGATATTAATTGTTTATTGTTTCATGATGGCAAGCTGTATAGTGGAGCAGATGATGGAACTATTAAAGTAAGTTATTTTTACGTTATGGTTCAAAGACTTTTCGGTAACATTTCATATCACAATTACGCAGCCATTTATCGGTCAATATTCGTTAATATTCTAGTTACCGTAAAATGGGGTGTAGTTAACCGTTTTTCAACTTCAACTAAAGATATTGTTCTGAAGCTATTTTCTTGTGGCATTTTAAATTAATTACTATTTAACTGGGAATAAGCCACAATTAAAGGCTAAAATACGTTTATTGACGTTTCAATTTCCACTTCGGAAATCGTTCTCAAAATACAAACAGTAAATTAAAAAAATTTTGTTTTTTTTTATTTAGAAACATTCTCTAATAATTTAATTTTATCTGACTTATTTATATTGACAATTCAGACATAAATTATACATTTTAAAGTAGACGACTCTAAAATGATGGCCAATATTATTGAGTTTGGGACGTCTTTACTTATAAGATAGTTCATTCGATTACATAAAATCAACTTTTCCGTCAGAAAAAATCATAGCATGTAATTCGTTTTTAAAAACACAAACACATGCCATGATGACAGTAAAATTCTCCTGTTAGTGATTCCATAGTAAATTATGAGGGAAAACCAGGAAAAAAACCTCATAATACTATCCCTACATGGTAAGTATTTGGTTGTGAATTTAGTTTACCTTCAATAAACACCAAACTCTGATTTTATATGTTTGTTATTTAAAAACATAAATGATGTATCCTCTATATGTTACTGACTTACTAATACTGATATTTTCATATTAATAACTTCCTCTTTCAATATGGGTAACCAGATCCTACTACATTCTGCCGAGGAATTTGCGACAAAATTGGTCTCATTTAGCATAATTAGAGCCGCTTCTTTGATTTTTCTTTTTTTTACCATCCGTTAATATATAAAAATATATTCTTTTAGGAATATATTTGAATCATTCCATTAAAGTATATGTTCATTATTCCATGCGTGTTTACATATTTGAGATCTATCAAATTCTCTATTTTTAATATAAGATTGATGTTCACTTATTCTAACATTTAATGGCCTTGACGTTTCACCTAAATAAAACTGATCGCATTCATAAGGTATTTTATAAAAGCAATTCTTTGTCCTTTCTTGTTCATTGTTAGGTTTGGTTTTGGACAAAATAGATCTCAACGTGTTTGTTGTTTTGAATGTTGTTGAAAAGTTCCATAAATTTCCCTCATAATTTATTGAAAAAATAAGTTTTCTTATTATTTTATTATTTTTATAAAATTCGTTTTAGTGCTGGTTACCAGATCTGACTAAAAAATCTGAGATAAAAGCCAATTCATGTTCGGTATACAGCTTAGCGGGCGATAACAATTGTATTTATTCATGCTCAAATGAAGGAAGTGTTGATTCTTATGCGTTGGATACATTGGAAAAGAAGTCAGTCCTGATCCAAAATTCCGAAGTAGAATATTGGAGAGTTCGATGTGTTAATGGAGTGTTGTATTCTGGAGATCACGAAGGATTTGTAAGTATCGTAAATTATATTCTAATATAATATTTTACTATTAATTTTATTTTATCTGACTCATTTTTATTGACAATTCCCACATATAAACTTTACTATAAGTTTAGGATCTAGGGGAGGGGGTTGACTAGACAGTTTAATGTCCCCTCTGTACCTTGAGATTTTTTTATGTTTTTTTTTAAAGTGTGCGTATCTTCGATTTTTCAACGGTTCTATAGTCAGAATGCAGAAATCTAGGCAGTAAATTCTTGGAAGTAATAGTGACGGTTCATCGCTATTGTAGGTCTTCCAATTACGTACGAAAAATGTCATAGAAAGTTACGACAAAGCTACTTGTATTGAATAAATATGTACCTATTTATAATTATGCTAATTTTAATATGATTGTTATTGACATTTGGGTTATTATACAAGGTGGTCCAGAATTATGTACATTAATTTCTAGAGCTCATAGTACGTCCAAAAATAAGGGTACTTCTTTATGTACACTTTTTTATAAAACTAAATAATAAGGGAGATACAACCCTTTAAAGGGGTGAATTGAAATTCTTATTTTTTCAGATATCTTCCAAACGGTTTTAAATGCGGAGTTCATATTTTGGGATTGATTATAACACATTAGGATAATTAATTTCATGTTAACACCTACCACATCCTATATTAATACAGGGTAGTTTTGGAGGGTAAGTGGGGGTTATTGCGTCACATGTTTTTTATTTTTACATATTTTAAAAAAATATTTTAAAAATTGTTTGCTTAGACTTTTCTACGCAAAAAGGTGCTCTTGTAGTATTTCGATAGATATCACCGTTTTCGATTTATTTAAACTCAAAGGTATACATGTATTTTATTGTAATCGTTACATTTCTTAATATTCATCAAGTATGCTTTGGAATTGACACTTGTGTTAGCAACAGCACTTTAATCTCAAGTAGTCTATGAATTGTAAGTGACGTTTAATAACAATTAAATTATTTTATCTACACTTTTATTGTACTCGACAGTGAAATTTGTTTAACACGTCTCTTTTGCTATATTTTTAAATTTGTTTGCCCGCAATATGGCACAATATTCAAATTCTGAGATGACAGACCTACTTTTAGTATTAGGGGAATGTTCGGGAAATGCTGCTGTCGCTGTAGGACGCTACAGAGAAAAGTATTCGAACAGAAATATTCCCAATGCCAGGACTTTTGTAAGTACTGAACGACGACTGAGAGAAACCGGTTGTCTTCAAAGAAGGAATACAGATGCTGGTCGTCGTAGAGAAGCAAGAAATGTTCGCGTTGAACAGCAAATATTGGATGCTGTAATAAATGACCCCACAATAAGTACACGCAGGTTAGGATTAAGAACGAATATTTCCCATCAAAGTGTTTTAAGAGTTCTGCATGAAGGGCAATTACATCCTTACCACTATCGACAGGTGCAGGAATTGTTACCTGACGATATGCCACTTAGAGTTGATTTTTGTGAAGTATTGCAAAATAAAGTTTAAACTGCACCAAATTTTTTAAGCAACATTCTGTTTACATACGAGGCCACATTTACAAGACAAGGTATGTTCAATTCTAGAAATATGCACTTCTGGGCCGAAGAAAATCAAATGGAAACGCACTTCCAACACACGTTAAAGATAAACGTTTGGGCAGCTACGTTAGGAAATAGTTTCATAGGATACCACATATTTCCCGGAAATTTAAATGGTAACATGTATTACAATTTTCTAGACAATATTTTACATGTTATTTTGGATGATTTTCCATTACAAATACGAAGAAACATGGTTTTCATGCATGATGGTGCTACACCACATTACATAAGAATTTGTAGAAGGTGGTTTCATGAACATTTCCCTGATAAGTGGATAGGCCGGGGTGCGGATACACCGATTCATTGGCCTGCTCGTAGTTGTGATCTTAATCCAATAGACTTTACAGTATGGAGTTATTTGAAATTAAAAGTGTATAACACTCCAATTAATACAGTAAATGAGTTAAGAGACAAAATTGAACAAGTATTTACCGATTTACAAAACGATCCAGTAACATTAAATGGATTATTGCGTTCGCTAAATAAAAGAATTAAATTATGTATTCAACAAAATGGAGGACATTTTGAACAGTTGTGAAATATTATTTTCGCCATTAATTAAATGTTAAGTATTAATTAAGTTTTCCATTAATTTGTAATATTATTGCTAACACAAGTGTCAATTCCAAAGCATACTTGATGAATATTAAGAAATGTAACGATTACATAAAATACATGTATACCTTCGAGTTTAAATAAATCGAAAAAACGGTAATATCTATCGAAATATTACAAGAGCACCTTTTTTGCGTAGAAAAGTCTAAGGAAACAATTTTTAAAATATTTTTTTAAAATATGTAAAAATTAAAAAACATGTAACGCAATTACCCCCACTTACCCTCCAAAACTACCCTGTATTAATATATGATGTGGTAGGTGGTGACATGAAATTAATTATACTAATGTCTTATAATCACTCCCAAAATATGAACTCTGGATTCAAAACCGTTTGGAAGATATTTGAAAAAATAAGAATTTCAATTCACCCCTTTAAAGGGTTGTATCTCATTATTATTCAGTTTTATAAAAAAGTGTACATAAAGAAGTACCCTTATTTTTCGACGTACTATGAGCTCTAGAAATTAATGTATTTAATTCTGGACCACCTTGTATATATTATTATAATATACATGGTGTTTGGTAACGAATGACCATAACTTAAACTTACTTACTTTATTACGAAAGTTGATACTAACCAAAATAACAGGTGCCAAAGTTAAACTTTTATTTTTGAATATTTCGTGACTGGCATGGGATAACAACACGAAATTTGGTAAGCTGGAGTTTTTTGGGATGAGAAATCTAAATTCGCCATTAAAAATGATGAAGGATACTACATACGTCTTTCAGTGCTCTTTTAGTACATTCAATTTTTTTTATCTCCCACTTGACATACTTTTAGAATCAAAACTTTTATTCTCTTAATATTTTTACTTAGAAAAGATATACTACATCGCCATACAACGCTGTACAGCCCAATGCTTTCTATTATTGCTTTATATATTTGAGTTAATTACAATATAAATAATTTTAGGTTAGAAGGTAATAGTTATACATCCCTAAAACCGCGACAGTCGGTGAAAGTCGGCTACTCAGGGATTCAGTTGTTTTGCTATCGAAGTAAGCAGTGGTGGGATGACGATTCGTAGAATACTATTTTGCTGACGACACTTTGTCTAGTAACCGTTGATTCTATTCGTCGTAAAGTTATTTCCAGCGATTTCTCTTAGCCACTTTTACTAAGGAATTTTTTCTCTTAAAGTTATAACATGAATAGTTTCTGACATATAGCCGAGAAATCGGCTTATTGGACCACCTGGTACATAAAAATCTATAATAATATTCGAGAATATAATAAGCTAAATGAGAATTTGAACTATTTATTAACCTGCTTGTCACAGCCATTTGATAATTATTTTGTTTATATACCGCTTTGAATGCTGTAGTTACAAAATCTTTTGTTAAAATTCAAAGAAAGCTTTTGCTATAAAACCTTTTTAGATCATAACAATCTTTCCACTTGTCGGCAATAATTTTTATATTTTATCGCCATCACTTCAATTTATTTGGTTTATTTTAACGCGTAAGTGGTGTAATAAAAATTGATGAGGTTCTTACAGTTGACTAAGACTCTGAGGGCTGAACGGTCGATGTATCCGTGGCGTAGTATTTTTTAATTTTGTGTATGTATAGATTGATGCTTATAAGTGATAATTTTGTTACATCATTTTTTAAAAGCACGCGATATGTTTTGTTGGGAACTGGCAAATATAGATTTTCAATAATTTTGAAGTTTAATTTTGTAATATACGAACCGTGTATTTTATACGCAAATTCGGGTAGAATTGCGTTGGTACACACTTGACACTGCTATTAAACTAATTATTAACTCTCCAAAGCAAACAGTAAGCAGTAATAATTTTTATCTCTGAGTCACTAAATTCGATAACAACTATCATGAAAATATTAGAGTTGTGAATTGCAATGAAACAAAAGTTTTATTTGCTTCGAACAGTTCGAAACTTACAACTTCTTCTGTTTACTTTACAGTTTAAAGTTGCTTTGATGAGAAACTTTTACACTAAATTTTGCATTTAATTTACACTTTTAAAATTACCCTAGTTTCTTTTGTTTGTCCTTTTTATTTACCACTCTTGGAAACTTTTAGTCAAGTTTTTAATTAGACGAGGGCACAATGCAGATATAAAAATGGTTAATGAATAATTGAATTTATTTTAATTGGTATTTAGTTTATTTAAAGCCATATTTACAAAAACTGAAAAACCATTAGTAAAGAGTGTTATTATTATTTATTATTATACATAAGCGAAGGCAGAGGAACTAAGTCCCTATTATGCCCAAAAACAAAGAAATTTCATTAATAACCTACTAGTAAATTACAAAATTACAAATAAAAGAAATAAAATTACAATTTTTTGGTATGAAAGATAACCAATATTTTAACTGTAATATAAACCGGTTAATGCTGTTTTTGAACGAGTTGGTAGAGGGAGCAGAGACAATGTTATCGTTGAGGTTATTCCAGCAATCAAAATCTTTATTTGGAAGAAAGTTCTGTCTTGATCTCGTAGAAAAATTTTCTTTCTCTAGTTTATACAGATGACCTCTGAGTCACTCTGAGAGACTCTAAACATTTCATCGAGTCTCCAAAATTGAATTTAAGTATTTTAAATGTTGTAATTAAGTCTCCACGTTTTCGGAGAAGTTCAAAAAGAGGTTAGGTTAGCCGTACTAAGTCTTTCTGCATAAGAAGGTCTCAAAGAAATTCGAGTGGCTTTTCTTTGAACGTTTTCCAACAAAGTCTTGCCTCGGACCAGATTAGTATACCACGTTGGCCCATCGTCTTCAAGTATGGGGTCTTACGTACAGAGTGTAAAGTTTAAGAATGATTGTATTGAAACTCTTGAAAAACACCTTTGAATAAGATACGGTCTAGAGTTTTATAAACAGAGGTAAGATGGTCGGATTAAGTTAGGTTTACGATAAAACCAAGATCGTTATACTAAAACACAGATTCTAATGGCTGCCCGTTAAAACAAAGTACGGCACAAGTGGGTTATTTTGACCAATTCGAAGCACTACACATTTTTCCGCGTTTAAGGGTAGTAACCACTGGGAACACAAGTTAAAATTAAGTCCAAGTGCATTTGGAGGATTAACTGGTTTGTGATTGGATTGGCATATATTTTTGTGTCGTCAGCGTAGAACGATATTTTACTTGAGACATAATAAGGAACATCGCTGGTGTGAACCGTAAAAAGCAGAGGTCCAAGGACAGAACCGTGAGGTACTTGACTTTCCACTAACCTATCTTGTGAGAAAGATTCGCTAACTCTAACTTTGTAATATCGATCTGTCAGGAAATAATCTATCCAACGAAGTAAAGTGCCGCGAACTCCGAAATGTTCTAGCTTATGTAAAAGTCTGCGCTTAGATACACGGTCAAAGGCTTTAGAGAAATCAGAGATAAATCCATGTTGTTGTGTTGGAATAACATGTTCCTAGAAAAGGAATTTGGTCATTTCCTCGGAAATATTGGCTTCCATAACTTTGGCAACTACTGGCAGCAGGCCAATTGGACGATAGTTGTTGAAGTCGAGTTTGTTGCCTTTTTTTAAAACAGGGGTAACGAAAATAATGATAAAAGACATTACTTGATGCGGTGTAATCCGTTTAAAATAAAACAATAACCATAATAGATTATTAACAAAAAACTTCATTATGCAGATACACACATGTTGATTGCTGGATAGATAAAATGATAATTGCGGATGTCGATAGTTGCGAAGAATATTCCGCATACCATGGACAGATAGGGTGAGAAGCGAGGAAGTCATAAGAAAGGCTAATACTGAGAGAAAACTACTCAATTTGATAAAGGTGCGAAAAATTGGATAGCTCGGCCATATTCTGAGAAGAAAAAAATACGCAATCCCTCAACTAATCATCCAGGAAAAGATTGAAGGCAAGAGAGGAATAGATCGCAAACAAATGTCGTGGCTACGGAACATAAAGTACTGGACAGGTATAAATATCACTGGCGATCTTTTGCATGCCGCAAAGAGGCCTAGCAGGAAGGAAAAGCAAACTTCGCATAAAAACCAAAATAAGACTTATAAACAGTATAGTCCTTCCTATACTGACCTACGCGTCACTTGCATGGGGACATATATGCAACACAACCAAAAAGAAAATGCAGGCACAACACAACAAAAGCCTAAGAGAAGCGGTAAGCGTACCAAGATACGTAGCTGAAAGATTCCTTTTCAGAGAATTACAACAAATCAGAGTGACTGACACTATGAAAGAAAAAGCTAGGAAAAAGTTCGCAGAATTAGAGAACCACCAAAGTCTCATTCTACGAGAGATAATAAGGTATGACGCTTTTGTGCTTCCACAGATGGAAGCACAAAAGACCAAAACAACAAATAGTAGACTAAAATAAAACCAGAGAGAGAAATAAAAACCCCCCCAGATGGTCAGAATTCAACAAAAAGTCCAGAGTAAGAAGAAACTTCAAATCATACCACACACACAAGGAAGACAGTTCGTAGCTCAAATCACCGAGAATATCGCTTATCGCCTCATACACAGTGGGCCCAGCAGCTCAACTAGGATACAGTCTGTATTGTGGTATCGTATAATATTTATATATTTTCTTTATTATAATATAGATTGTACACTAATTATGATTTTTTGTCCACAGGTCACCTACAAAAAAAATCACAAAAAACACAAAAAACCGGCTTCGGCCACCAAAAAAATTAACAAAAACCCTAAAACCCTGGCACGTAGGGCCCAACCCCCTTGAGCACCAAGTCGCCGAACTGAGCCGGGACTCAGAGCGGAGACTTGAGGCCCAAGTAAGCAATTTTAGTTCGCGGATAAGCCACATTAAGATAAACAGGAATATAGCGGAGATGCGCTGTCGTGAGTTTTTGCATTCGGTTAGGAAACCATGTTGGGGTTCTATTACCCAGGACCTCCACATGAAGAGCACTTGGCTGATTGTTGTGCCTCTATAGCAAATCAGATCGCTATAGGGGGGAAAGGGATGGTCTAGAGCATTGGAGCACGGTGGGGTGACTCCTGTTTTTACTCGAGTTAACCTTGCTCCAATGAATTGTTACACCCGATCGTACTACCTGGGTGAACATTTCTCATAGGCTGGGTTCAATCAAATTGTGCTTGCTTGCATGCCGCAAAAGACAGACGTCTGGCCTTAAGATAATTCGCCAACACACTATAGATGCACGGCGCTATAAGAAGAAGAAGGATGTCGATATGACAGCCGTTTACAGCATTATACGTCAAAACGGGTGACAGGGTTGCCAAGTATAATTTTTATTCATCATCCAGCCTCAAGAGTCCACTGCTGAACATAGGCCTCTTCCTCATGTTTCCACCCCCGTCTATCTTGCGCCGCTCTTATCCAGTTTTTATTGAGTCTTCTTAAATCGTCAGTCCATCTTGTAGGTGGTCGACCGACGCTTCTCTTGTCTTCCCTTGGCCTCTATTCCAATAACCCCTTTGTCCATCGCCCATCTGTCATTCTGGCTATGTGTCCTGCCCATCTCCATTTTAGTCTGGCTATCTTCTCGATGATGTCAGTCACTCCGGTTCTTCTCCTGATGTCTTCGTTTGTTATTCTGTCTCGGAGAGTTATTCCTAACATGGACCGCTCCATTCTTCTCTGCGTGACTCTCAGTTTGGTAGCTGCTGCTGCTTTATAATTTATAATTTTATAAATTTTATAATTTTATAATTTTATATATATAATTTATAATTTTTATTACACGTTTTAAAAATTAAATACAGCGTTAATCGCAGAAAATTACAACTAGTCCGTTAAAGGTGAATTTGCTTCATATTTGACAACTTTTTAGCTTTCTTATTTACGTTGATTCTGTTAAAATCAGACACACACAAATTATATATCTTAATGTGCTTTTTTATTTTAGGTTAAAGTATGGAAAAATGGAACACTTTATGGATCAATTAATATCTGCGAACCAGTTAAGGACATGGTTATTTTTAAGAACCTCTTAATTACTGCTAACATGGGTATTGTTGTAACGGATCTTAAGCTGGAAGGTAAGTAGACGTAATGCCATTAGAAGAAAGTGTACAGAGTTCGTTAAGCCAAATACTTACATGCCAAAACAGTAAAAATCAAAATACAAAAAATTGTAAAAGGCCAACTCACTCGATGTGTCAGGGTGAGATGACTCGGACACTATCATAAACTTTATTTGGCACGGTCTTTGCCAATACTTTTCCACATATATCACATAAATTAACATATCTTGAGCAGTTTTTATTAAACCAAGAATTGCACTGCTCGCACTGTACCCAGTCTTCTTGTTTCGATGTGGTTGAATATATTTTCCCACAGCCGACATATTCACAATTTGTTTGCTCTTGTAGATCATCACTAGAGTCTTTAGTAATTTCCTTATGATCGTCAGAGTCTTCGGAAAAAGATGACTAACAAAACATTTTCGTTTGGTTCTTGAATCTCTTGACTTTTTTTTCCAGAGGCCCTTTATTATTTTTAGCATCCTTTTTTTTTTCTTTTTAACATCTTTGTCTATTGTCTTTGACTATTTGGATACTTAGTAGTGAATTCGTTGAATACCGTCTGATAACCTGCATGATAATGTAGGTACGAAGTCAACAGACAGACTCGTTCTTCTGTAGTGTACTTTACACGGGCTTGGGCTGCCATGGCGACGTGAACTCGTTGACCGACAATCTTGAACTAACGACAAGCGCCACACTCCTGTCATCGCACCAATTCGGTACGGCAAGCACCGTTGCCGTGTCCTCACTATTTTTGAACCGCGTCAGACAGCGTTAACTGACTTATGCCCACCCCGGTATATATATATATATATATATATATATATATATATATATATATATATACTCTCTTGAAACAAAATTACTTATTTGATATTGAAACGAAAATATTAACTTTTTTATATTGAAATTTAATTATTGTGGAGTGATAAACCACAGGCACCCGGTGAAGCAATACAATGCCCATACCGAATAATTAAGTTTAAATTTAAATACACAAAACACAACAACGAACACTGCTATATTCGGTTAAATCAAATTAAGAACCAATAATATAATTACTTAGCGAGAAATTAATTAAACAGACAATATGACAAGCACAGACAATGTACACGAGAGAAGCTCTTGTTAATTCCTAATTAAACATTAATTTGTGTTAGACATAAACAATTTTAAGTAAAAAAAAAGGGTACATGAGTTTTATAACTTGTCTGACTATAAATCATCACTTTTATTTTATTATATTATAGGCTAAACAATAAACTACATAGTTTGGTTAGTAATTGGAAACATATTTGTTTTTATATGCAATGCATTTATTTTAGGATTAAGCATTACTCACAGTGACAATTATTAGTATAATAGCAATGATTAATGACAATTTTTGAGTGTTCCCGATACAGGACGAAGGGGATAAATGTGTTTACATTTTGTTAGCATCATAAAATATAGGTGTAATATAATAAAAATTAGTTACTATTTTTTATTTTAAACTTTTTGGGCATAAAAGAAACGTATTAATAATTGTCGAAGGTGCTTAGTTTTAAAATATTATAAATAATATACCTTTTGCCAGACCGGTCCATCTGGCGTTTGTTAATCTAAAGAAAGCTCAAATACCTACAGTCAAATTATGAGAAGCAATGAATGATCTCGGAATCCGACAAACACTAATAAAAGCAGTTAAAACACTGTACAAAGAAAACAAAGTAGCTATTAAATGTGTAAATAAAGCCTACAATCCATTTAAGACGACAAAAGGACTTCTACAAGGCTGTGCTACATCCCCTACTCTGTTTAAAACATTCTTGAAAAATACATTCAAACCATGGAGGAGAAAGTGCGAAGGAATGGGCATACCAGTAAGAGACGAATACCTATACACCTTAAGTTTTGCCGACGATCAAGTAGTCATCGCCCAAGATGAAGAAGATCTCAGCTTTATGCTCAGAAAACTCGAAGAAGTATATAAAAACAACGGAATGGAAATAAACTTAGAGAAAACCGAATAACTAACAACAGAAAACAAGGATATGAGAAACCTAGAGATAGACGAGGAAAGACAAGTAAATGGAACAGATAAATTCAAGTCAAAGGCCACAGGTCCGGATGAAATCCCGATTGAGTTTCTTAAACTGATCGATGATGAAATGATAGACATTCTAGTAGAACTTTATGATCATATTTATCAAACAGGTATTTTACCAAAGGAGTGGTTAGTATCCACATTCGTAATTATTCCCAAAAAGCAAAATGCAAAAGAATGCTCAGAACATCGTACAATTGCATTAATGAGCCATGTTTTGAAAGTGTTTCTACGAATAGTCCACAACAGAATTTACAGAAAGCTGGATGATGAAATTAGTGATAGTCAGTTAGGCTTTAGAAACGGCACGGGAACCAGGGAAGCATTGTTCGGTATAAATGTGCTCATGCAAAGAAATCTGGATATGAACCAAGACATGTATACATGTTTTATTGATTTTGAAAAAGCATTTGACAAGGTACAGCACAATAAACTAATTAATATTTTAAAAATGAAAAACATCGATAGCCGCGACATCAGAGTAATCTCGAACCTCTACTGGAACCAGAAAGTCAAAATAAGAATTGAAAATCAAATGTCGGAAGAAATAGAAATTCTTCGGGGTGTGAGACAGGGCTGTGTATTGTCACCACTGCTGTTTAATATATATAGCGAAGCCATTTTCTAAGAAGCTTTAGGAGAGTGTAACGATGGAATGATAATAAATGGTGAAATTATTAATAATATAAGATATGCCGATGATACTGTCATATTCACTTCAACTCTGCAAAGTCTAACAAACATACTGGAACGGCTGAATGAAAAGTGTACCATATATGGTATTAAAATGAACTTAAAGAAAACAAAATTCATGGTCATTACAAAACATCCAAAAGACAACGAGACACTCCATATTAATAATATCCAGATAGAAAGGGTAGATAAATACAAATATCTCGGAACATTGGTTAGTCAAAACGCAGAACAAACGCAAGAGATTAAAAGCCGTATAGAAATAGCAAGGGCAAAATTTGTAAAAATGAAACATCTATTGTGTAGTAGAGACCTAAGAATGGATCTAAGGATAAGGTTATTGCGCTGCTACATTTTTACAACTTTGCTCTACGGATCTGAGGCATGGACATTGAAACAACTGGAGATTAAGAAATTGGAAGCTTTTGAGCGTTGGTGTTATCGAAGGATGCTACGAATAGCATGGGTAGACAAAATTACCAATATTGAAGTCCTTGATAGGGTTAATAAGAGGGAAGAAATTGTACAGGCAATTAAGAGGCGGAAACTTGAATATTTCGGTCATATATTAAGAGGTCCTCGTTATGGGCTACTACGTTTGATTATAGAGGGCAAAATAAGAGGTAAAAGAGATGTAGGAAGAAGACGAACCTCCTGGCTACGAAATCTAAGGGAATGGTTTAGTCTGAGCTCTAGCCAACTATTTAGAGCTGCTGTAAGTAAAATAAGAATTGCCATGTTGATATCCAACCTTCGTTAGAAGATGGAACCTTAAGAAGAAGAAATTCAAGTAATAAAGAACCATAATATCGAACCAGGGAACAACAGAAGAAGATATAAACAACAGACTAAGACAAACAAGAAACTGTATAAGACAACTTAATTCAGTGCTGTGGGATAAGAACATTACGATAAAGACAAAAAAGAGAATATATAATACCCTGACAAGAAGTATCCTGACATATGGGTCCGAAAACTGGACAATAAACTAGAGAAATAGAGGTAGAATAAGAGCAGTATAAATGGAGTTCCTGAGGAGAAGCTGTAGACTTACAAAAAGAGACAGAATTGAAAACGCAGAGATTAAGCGGAGAATGGGAGTGCAATCAGACATAATCGACTATATAGAGGAGAAGAGACTATCCTGGTACGGCCACGTCAGAAGAGCGGACAGAGGACGCTGGATAAACAAAATCACAGAATGGAGCACGATCGGAAGAAAAAAGATAGGAAGACCTCGAAGATCATTCAGAGACGAAATCGACGAGGCTATGGAGAAAAGAACCCTGCGAGATGGAGGCTGGAATGGCAGGGAAAATTGGAGAAAACAGTTGAGTAAAGAAAGACAGTGAAAACTGTGGAAATCCTTAGTAGTAGTATAAATAATATACTTAGTTTTTCGTAGAATTTTCTTATTAGTATTATTGGATTATGGAATCTATACACTAAGTTCCGTTTCATCGATATCTTTCTAACTGTACTCAATGCATCTCATTTTATTTTGTTCTGTAATAACAATGCTGGATATTTGTAGATTGCAGATTTGAAATCGAGCAATTTCATGTAAGAGCACACGTGATTACTTAGAGTTTAGTCTTTTGAATCCTTAGAGTACTTTTATTTTAGCGAGTAGGAGGTTGTAGTAGTAGTAGAAGAGAAATAAAAAAAACAGCGCCGGAAGAAAATAACAGATAAACGGAAATTGTGGATGACCGACGAAATACTTGAAGTTATGGGTCAGAGAGGAAAAAACAAAGAAAATCTCCAAGAATATAAGAGAATACATACCATCATCAGAAGAAAGACAAGAGAAGCCAAAGAGAAACAAAAACGATAGATATATCTAAATAATAGAAAAGTTGCAACTATAATTGTAATTCGACACACCACTTCCACCACATTTATTAGAATAAAACCTTTATATTCAATATTAGATAAAATAATAATGTTAATTTTGGTCAATTTCTTTTAGGTGAGAAAATTCAGTTTGGAGTAAAGGATTCTCTCGGCGGTACATTTCCTTTGGCCTTAATAGGAGGAAAATACGTCGCTCACGTTATTCGAGAAGCAACTGATATTGTTGTTAATGAAATCAGTGATTCTGGACATATTAAAGAAATTACTAAAACAGAGGTAGGTTATTTAAAGTCTTTTACGAAACAATTTATTCTTAATCTTAAATCTCACTTCGGATTTTGCTCAACTCGAAATGTAAAAATAAACTTAATTTAAAGTAAAATTGTGGCTTATTCTCAACAACAATAGTAAATATATTAATAGTTACTATCGTAAAAGCTTAAAAAAAAACAGTAAAGCGACATTACGTCTTCTGAGATGGAGTGGTAAAATATTATTTCTTCCTTTATTTTACTGTATTTTACTCCTGCTACATCTCGTTTAAAAGCCATTCTCTGGCTCTTTAACGGGAAAATTGAACATATTAAACATGCTACAGTTCTGTTGAATTAAAAATAACTCGAAACCTCTGGATAATCTACTCTTAATAGTATATTACTTTATGAGGCGGAGAAGCATGACTTTTCTTGACGCGCCCAATATTCCCACTGCACCCTTGAGGGCAAGTCAAGAAAAGTCGCTTCTTTGCCGAATAAAGTATACTATTTTTTCTTCAAACGTAGCAATTTTCAACCATAAATAGTACAATTCATACGCTATTTTTACTCGAAATTAACTGTGACCACTATTAAAGTCGTCTAGATATTAGAAATTAAAATAATTAAGTCGTCGTTGGGATTTGCGTCTCCCTGGTTACAGTTGTTTGACAGTTGTTTGCAATTATTAAAGACAGCTTCTTGTTGTTGCAACCGCAAGCGCAAATTTAGTGCGAAAATGAAAAACCTAAACGAAATTGAGTCCGCGGCTAATGATGCAGTAGCACGTTTGGGGCCTTCCAAGTCCGGAATAAAGTATCGGTTAGCATACAAGCACTTCCAAGAGTGGTGCGATACAAGGGGAGTACAGCAAGTTACCGAAGACGTTTTACTGGCATATTTTAATATAATGGAAAATGAAAATAAATGGAAATATTTTACAATGTGGTCACGATACTTTATGATAAAATCCGAGTTAGTTATTAGAAAAAATGTGGATATAAGCAAATTTTTAAAGTTACGTGCCTTTCTGAAAAAAAAACAAGCGAAGGATATACTGCAAAGAAGTCTAAAGTTTTCACTAAAGACGAGTTTGATAAATTTTTGTTTGAAGCGCCAGATAAGTTATATTTAGGATTAAAGGCAAAAAAAATTATATTGCAAAGCATGTAGTATACTCTACTAAATTATAAAAATATTTCAGATTGTTTTATTAATTGGGGTTACCGGCGCCTATCGATGCGACGAAATGGTAAAAATGAAGACTGTGGAAATTGAAGATAAAGAAAATGTAATAATTATCAAAATCCCAGACAGTAAAACACGACAAATTAGATATTTTACAATAATTGGTCAAAACTACATTAAACTATATAAAAAGTAAGCTACACTGCGGCCTGAAAATTTCACAGAAATCCGATTTTTTATCAAGTACCAAAATGGAAAGTGTTACCGAAGCGTCATGGGAATACATTCGATCAGCGCAGTAGCCCAAAAAGTAGCTAGTTATTTAAATTTAAACGATGCAAGCGCATACACGGGTCACTCTTTACGACGAACTTCAGCAACACTGTTAATTGATGGAGGCGGAAATCTAGAATGCCTCAAACGACATGGGGGCTGGAAATAGAGAGGATTCAATAAGAAATAAGAACGATAATGCTCAACAAATTTTAAACCCTCATGATTCGCCAACATCGGGAATGATTGCTAAAAGTTGTTCTCGACCATTAGTATCATCAACAATTACCAATGCGTATCAAGAGTCGGGAACATTTTTGCACGGTTTCAATTTTGAAAATGCCTCATTAACTAATTGCACTTTTAATATTACTATAAATAAAAATGATGTTTAATTTTTGTTAATGACATCTGTATTGTTGCTTTGTGACATGTTTCATATTGTTGCCATGACAACATTTTTTCCTCCTTACTTACTTACTTACTCCGTGGCGTTACAACCCTTCGTGGGTTTTAGCCGACTCGACAACATGCCTCCACTGTTTTCTATCTTGAGCAACCTCCATCCAATTCTCCACGCCCATAGTGCTTAGGTCTCCTGCTATATTATCTCGCCACCGGAGACGAGGGCGTCCGCGTGGTCTCCTTCCAGTTGGGACTTCCTCCCACACCAGTCTTACTGTTCGTTCGTCAGAATGTCTTCTGAGGTGTCCTGCCCATTGGAGTCTTCTGGACTTTATTTCTTTTATGATGTTGGCGTCTGGGTAAAGTTCTTCAAGCTCTTTATTAGTTCTTATCCTATATTGTCCTGATGCTTCATCAAGCACCGGACCAAAGATCTTCCTTAGGATTTTTCTTTCCCAAACACGTAGTCTCTCTTCATTTGCCTTTGTCATCGTCCACGTTTCGCTTCCATATATCACAACGGGTCGTATGATTGTTTTATAGACCTGTATCTTCGTACCTCGTGTTAGTTGTTTTGATTTTATAAGGTTTTGGAGGGCAAAAATACATCTGTTGCCGGCCTGAATCCTGTTGTTTATTTCTGATGATCCGTTATTGTCTTCAGTTATTGTTGTTCCAAGATACTTGAATTCTCTAACGCGCTCAAAGTTAAAGTCATCGATGGTAATGTTCTAACCGATTCTGTCTCTGCTTTGGTTATTGCGGCTCATATACATATATTTCGTCTTATTTTCGTTGATTTGGAGCCCCATCTTCTCTGCTTCCTTCTCAAACCTTACGAAAGTCTCCTTCATCTTTAATCGCGTGTTTCCTATTAGATCTATATCGTCTGCAAATGCCAGTAGTAAGTTTGGTCCTTCTCGATGAAATACTGTATTCGGTTTTTCGATTCTTGCACTTCTGATTATGTGCTCCAGAGCTAAGTTGAAGAGTTGTGGTGAAAGTGCATCTCCCTGTTTTAGTCCATTGTTTATTTCAAATATCTCCGAGTATTGTTGTCCAACTCTCACCTTACATCGTAACCGTTCCATACACATCTGTATCAACAGAACTAGTTTTTTTGGAAAGCCAAGTTCCTGCATCGCTGTCCACAGTCTGTCCCTACATACTCTATCAAATGCTTGTTTAGCTCCGCCGTAAAGAAATGGGAAAAAACTGCTGCCGGCGGAGGCATCAAATTTTGACAGGATCAAGTTAGATAAGTAGTGTCATCATTATTTGACGTTTAAAGAAAAAATAAGTTCGCACATCTTCAAATACTGAGAAAAACCGAGCATAAAGCTAGCCACAAATACAAATATCTTGGGTCAATAATTTCAGAAAGAGGGTAGCAACGAAGAACATTAAAAATGGGATAGTACTAGGAAAAGTTGCAATTAGAGAACTACTGACTAATTAGATAACATCAAGTAATTTGAAATCGAATAGTAGCGACAATTTTAGGGGCAGGATGAAATAAAAAAAACATATTGTCCAAAAAGGGTGTATATATATATGGGAAATTATTAGTATAATTTCAGTGTATGTAGACTGTATTATATAGGGCTAGTTCAAATAAATTAGGATATGTAATAAAAGGTATACAGACAATAGCACATTAAGTTTATATAAAATCTTACCAATATTTCTGCTTCACACTCACGCGGTTTTTCTGCTCCACACTCTCGCGGTTTTTGCTCTTCTGCGGAATACATCTGGGCACACTCGCGATTTTTCTAAACACGTGTTTTTATCGGTAATAAACTTTGCCAGATAGAGCACACTTTGTCTGAACACGATTTAAAATAGTGTTTGCGGTATTTTTCGCGCAACTAAAACTGGAGAGAGATAATTAGCGATAGAAAAACAGCCAAGATAGATGCTGTTCTTCTTGATAAGCGAAGAGAGAGAATAGTCTGTCCTTAGTGACAGGCGACCATCAAGAGAGTGTCCTTCTTTTTTGCTATCTTAACACTGTCTGTATTTCTTAAGGGAGGGAAGTTAAAATGTAAGTAGGAAGGGTTATTAAGGGTTGGACTAAGATAATTATTGTAAAATTGTGATATAAGAATAGCTAAAAATACAGCGAAAAAATGACATGATTTTTCGCATGTAAAAAATTTGAACATATATATCAATAAAACACTGCAAACTTTTATTTTTAAAAGTTTACCAAAATGTATTATATTTTAAATAATTGATGGATTCGAACGTAACTTGATGGAAATTCATCTTATGTAACAATAAAACACTGAAAACTTTGTTTTCCAACTTCCACAAAATTTATTTTAACTTGTCACTACCGCTGTTTCGGCTAATTGCCTTTCTCAAGTGATCTATTTTTGGCATGCGTTTACGTTTTATAGTCTCTAATGGAATAGGTTGAGGAGGGGAGAACTGTTTGTCTCAAGTTGGTCATTCAGAATTATATCTGTGTTTTTCAATTTGTTGATTTCCATAGATTTTAGATAGCTAAAGACCTTTATTTTGAATGTGAAGAATTTTAAATTCGTCATTAAAAGAATAATTGTGATCTAGAAGGTGATGTGCGTATGTAGAATATGTTTTTCTATTATTGAAAGCCCTTTTATGTTCTGCTATTCGTTTATTAAAGTTTCTACCAGTTTGACCGATGTAAGTTTTTGGGAAGTCGCCACATTTGTACACAGTAGTGTGTACAAACTTAAATGTCAAAAGAATGCAAGACGAAGACCGATTTTAGGTAACAATCATCCTAACGTCACATATTATAATTTATTTTTAATTTGAAACTTTCAAGTTTGTATTACGTACTGATTTATAAGTATATATTGATGTTTATAAAATCAGCAACCCATTACCTTATTTTTAAAACATATTCAATAAAGTTTTGTTTATTCCACAAGACCAACTGTTTACACCACCCCAACATGAATGCTTTGTTAAAAAGTAGCTATATTACAAACTCACCAGAGTTTTCAACTGGCTCCCGTGCGGAAATTAAATGTTTTGATAATCGCCGTGAATGTAAAAAAGTTTCATTTTCGTTTCGACAGAACTTAACGATCACATCCCTTTGTCGACACATTTCAGCTTTATAAAACATATTAAAATAACATTTCTCATATTCTCAGGATTAAATATTACTGCCGCATCCGGAAAGTTATTGGCTTTGACTGTTAAATATAATGCTAACCAGATTATAGCCATATAAAAGCGAAATACATTCGGTTGAAGACCAGTTTATTACCAAAATTTATTAAAGTCATTCCTCTTTTTGTAGTAGATAAGGTCTTTTATCTAAGCTAGGCGATTTACTCTGAAAATCTATTTCCATAAACCACGCTATTTTTAAAAACGTAGGGGAAGGTGAGGTAAAATGGGATACTTAACGTTTGAGGCTGTATAGCACCAAAACTATGTATTGGAGGCTGCTCATATTTTGACACAGTCAAAACCTATTATTTTTGTATTAGAAGCACAAAAAAAGATTTTTTTATAAATGTATAAAAAAGGTATATACAAAAATTTGACAACAATACAATTTTCCATTTTGGCCCCACTGTGGGGGTAAAACGGAATACATCGTGGGGGTAAAACGGGATAGGGTTTTTCTATGTTATTTTATTTAATTTTCTCTTTTTTCTAAGTTTATTTTTATGTTAAATAAAACAACTTAAACTCAAAAATTGAGAAAGAACAAAAAAGAGCAATTAACTAAATAAGAAATAACGATGTTGATAAAGTTTTTGTTGACTCAAGTTCATAAGGGTGTTCATTACTATATGGAATTGAATTTCTGGGATACATTTTGAAAAGGATTTTTTTTAAGGTTTTTCATTTCCTTTAAAGTGAATAATTCTATATTAGAGATATTTAGCTCAGATAAAGTAATGGTTCTAATAAGTTTCATTAGAAATTCGTTTATATTTTGGAGATTTATTATCTCATTGTGTATAGCTGTCAAAATCAGCTGATAAGTTGGTAAGTGCAGATATGAGAATCGAATTATCAAAGTTTCTAAAATTTTATCGAATCTCGTGTTAAAAGAGTTTCCATAGATATTTGGTTATTCAATTTTTTAATAATTTCATTTTGAATAATTGATGGATTCGACCGTTACTTGATGGAAATTCATTTTATGTAACAATAAAACACTGAAAACTTTGTTTTTAAACTTCCACAAAATTTATTTTAACCTTTTATCACTACTGCTGTTTCGGCTGATTGCCTTTCTCAAGTGATCTATTTTTGGCTTGCGTTTACACTTTATAGTCTCTAATGAAATAGGTTGAGGAGGTTAGAACTGTTTTTCTCAAGTTGATCATTCAGAATTAAATCTGTGTTTTTTAATTTGTTGACTTCCATAGATTCTAACAAGGATAGTCCTTAAGTCCTTTATTTTGAATGTAAAGAATTTTAAATTCGTCATTCAAAGAATATTTGTGATCTAGAAGGTGAAGTGCGTATGTAGAATCTGTTTTTCTATTATTGAAAGCCCTTTTATATTCCGCTATTCGTTTATTAAAGTTTCTACCAGTTTGACCGGCGAAGGAGATCTGGATGACTACACTTTGCGCCGAGGCTGAAAGCCTATATAAACTCGGCGACAGCTTCAATCTTCACAAGAAAATTAAGGAAATTGCTGGTGTCTTCAAGAAAGGTGTCTTCACTGGTATACATAATGACCAAAATGTATTAATAACGGACCCTAGCGATATAATTAATACTTGGAAAATGTACACAGCCAATTTGTTCAATGATGACAGAACACAAAAACCACCACAACTGGGAGACCATTTTTATGGCCCAAGTATTTTGAAAGCTGAAATTGTACACGCTATCAAACTATTAAAAAGTAACAAAACCCCAGGACCAGATGATATGTACGCAGAAACAATCAAGTTACTTAATGAAGAAAACCTAGTCATTATTGTCAAGCTCTTTAACGACATCTACGATACGGGCCAGATTCCAAAAGATTGGCTTCGATCTACATTTATCGCCCTACCAAAAACACCACGTGCGAACTTCTGCAAGGACCACCGACTAATAAGCCTAATAAGTCACTTTTTAAAACTTTTCCTGAGAATACTTCACACTAGATTGTTTAAGAAATGTGAAGAGGTCAGTGGATGGAGTCAGTTTGGTTTCAAAAATGGACTTGGCACGAGAGAAGCGATCTTTAGTATGAAAACATTGATACAGAATTGTTTAGATCAAAGAAAGGATGTTTTTATCTGTTTCGTTGATTACGAGAAAGCATTCGATAATGTAAAACATGAATTGATGATAAAATACCTACAAGAGTTGGGATTGCATGCAAAGGATATAAGAATCATCGCCAATCTGTATTGGAATCAGACAGCAACAGTACGTCTTCAAAATTCCAACGAAACAGAAGATTTCTCCATTAAAAAAGGAGTAAGGCAAGGTTGTATACTGTCCTCAATGCTGTTCAATTTATACGTAGAAAAAGCCTTCGCAGAAGCAGTGGAAGACTCTAATAAGGGTATTAAAGTTAACGGCATATTTATTAATAACATCAGGTATGCCGATGATACAGCCATAGTGGCAAATAACATCGAAGATCTTCAATGCCTTTTAAATGATCTAACTCTTGCAAGTGAAGCTCGGAATTTGAAAATAAACATCAAGAAGACAAAATCAATGATTATAAGTAGAAATGATTACCCCAACGCAAAGATATATATCTCTGGAGAAGAAATCGAACAAGTCAGGCAATTCAAATACTTGGGATGTTTGCTGAATGAGGGTTGGGACCCCGAGAATGAAATAAAGAGCAGAGTTGAACAAGCCAGAAATGCTTTTTTGAGGCTTCGTAAGTTTCTGACTGATCGCAAATTGGACTTCAACCTCCGATACAAGATGCTTAAGTGTTACGTGTGGCCTGTTCTCCTGTACGGAATGGAAGCATGGACGTTAAAGGCCAGTTCCATTAACAAACTTGAAGTGTTTGAAATGTGGTGCCTGCGTCGAATGCTCAGAATATCATGGACGGACAGGGTTAGAAATGAGGAAGTACTCAGAAGAGCGGGCTTACAGGATAGGGAACTTTTTAATTATGTAAAAAGTAAGAAGACTGCATACTTGGGGCACATTATACGAGGAGAACGATACACTTTTCAGCAACTGATACCCGAAGGGAAGATAGAGGGTAGGAGAGGTCTCGGACGTAAAAAAATGTCATGGCTGCGCAATATTCGACAATGGACAGGAATTCACAGCTATGAAATGCTTCGCAATGCTGCTAAAAACAGAATTATTTAATCCAGAATATTTTTCACCTGACAAGACGATGTACGGTGGACGCCTACGCAGAAATGCACGGCACCTTAAGAAGAAGAAGACCAGTTTGACCGATGTAAATTTTGGGCAGTTTGTGTAGATCGTCTTTCGTTTGTTCTTGTATGTATTGTTCTTGGGTGTAATCTCCTAAATACTGAGTGAATGGACCAGGGCGAGGATTGTCCTGTGAAAAATTTGGGTTTTGAGTAGGGGTGTCTACGTGTTCGTATTCGTTTTACATATTTAAGGTGAGCGCGTGTTACATTTTGTTTATCTGTTTTACCGACAATTTTTGTTTTGTCTTGTTTTTCTAGATAAATAGTGGAGAAAGGGGCTTGTAATTTAGACTTACGTTTTTTCTTAGATACATAATATAGGGATTTTGTGAAGTATATTTCCGGATTATCTTCGGCGTTTTTGTTTTGTCTGTCTAAGGGTTTTTGTCTCTTCTATTTTTGCTTATTATATAGTTCTGCAATAAAGAATTGGAGTTCTTCTTTATGTCTTTGATTATATGTTCCATATATCGGAAGGTCAAAGTCGAAATGTATTTCTTCTGCATAGGGTCCGGACAGAATTGAGAAAGGAGAATAATCTGTGGAGCTGTGGATTGATTAATTGTAAATGAAAATGGCATGTGCTAGAATGTCATCTAACGAATCATTTGGATTTTGGGCTTGTAAGGTCCTAATTTGAGTAATAATCTTCAAACATCTTTAAAATGTTTTTGATCAAATTATTAGCTAACACAGTCGTTAATTTAATAATTATTAATACATTAGTCTAATACACTAACCCATTATTAATCCATTTTAATAGTGCTATATGTTTTTCAGGGTGCCCATACAAAAATTATTAACTCACTCGCCGGAGCAAAATGGAACAACAAAAACATCATCTTCAGTGGTGGCTGGGACAAGAGTATCAAAAAGTGGATCATAGAAAATAACTCAATCACACTGGAGGCAACTATTGATGCTGGTATAATTGTAAATGCCATAGAAGTTGGAAGGGATGGTGAAATATATGCTGGCGGGGAAGATGGCCATATTGTTCGTATTCAAGTGGAGTAGTAGCTTGAAGTATTTACTTCTTTAGGTTTTTAAGACATGTATTTAACATTAAAAGTTAGTTATATGATTAATATTTTTAACTTATTAACAATACGTATTTATTATTATTTATTACTGTAGTTTTGTATCAGATTTGAAAAATAAATATAAAATTATACTCATAAAAATATCTTTGTCTAGACGACGCATAGGTAAATTATTAATTTCCTTCATTTACTATGGGCAACCTCTCTTTTTGGAAAACTGGCAAACAGCTGGATTGGATGTTGAAGATTTACAATAATTACAAATATATCCAGTTATTAAGTGGCAAGGATAAGGAACTGCCGGATAAAATAAATATAAGAAGAGGAGTGAGACTCCTTTACTCTTTAATTTGAATTCACAGAAAATATTTAAGAAAGCCTTAATAAAGACAACAGAAGGTAGGGCTCTAAAGGACAGAGATCGCTATACAGGGCATATCTATCAATAATTAAGATATACTTACAGTTTACGTCAAGTTTGACTATGTTCAGAATGTCTAAAAAGTAAGCGTATATTATAACCTTATAACTTGGGGTTATAAGGTTATTTTTGGTAATAAAGATAAAAAAATGATATGAGGTTGAATCATCGAGCAAAAAGACAAAAGAGGGAATCTAATCCTTATGAAAAGGAGACCAAAAAAGTGGCCTCTAATGGCGGACATATCCGAAAATGCGAATGCGCCAAATTCAAATTTTCCGACACTTATCAACAGTAGCTACATAATATTTTTCAGAATGTGTCTTAGACGAGAAAGTTTTAATTAATTATTAACGATAATAGTCTAAAATGCGACATAATTGTTAAAAAACTTCAATATAAACAAGATTTCATGTGACATTTGGGACAAAGAATAACATACCCCAACTAAATTTTATGTCAAACAAGGAGAGAAACTCTCTTTCCTTGTTTAATGTAGCCTCTAAAGATCGCACTTCCTGTCTAACAATATGTTTGCCTCCACTACCTTTATATTCCCTCTTTTGTCTTTTTGCTCGATGGGTTGAATGCTCGAATAAATGAACTTTGAAAATTAAGGCAAATATCGAGCACAAGTTTAATCAAAACTTGCCCAAGTACTTTCGCTATCTACAGCATCATCAGGGGCATTTCGTCAAATTTGGGCTATCCAGCAAACGTAGAATGTAATACACATGAAATTGACATAAATTGTATATAACACTATATTAACAAAAGGACAAACAGTTTAAAATTAATAAAATTATTCTGACGCTCTACATTCTTGTCGGCAATCGGAAAGAGAATGATTCTCTCTTCAATTGCCGAATTACCGATTACCCTGACAGCTCATGGGTTTACCTCTTGCAGGGATTTAGTGAGAAGCATGGCGTTTGAACTGGCTGAAGAGCTAAAACTACCTCACAAATTCAACATGGAAACTAGAAAAGCTGGTTATGATTGGCTAAACTCTTTTCTTTTAAGAAATCTTACTCTTACTATTAGAAAATCGCAATGTATCTGTATCCCAAGCTAAGGTAATTAACACGCGAAGTGTCAAAGAGTACTTTAAGTTACTTGAAAGTGTTATTTTGGAAAACAATTTTATTGAGAAGCCTGGGCACATTTTTAACATGGACAATACCAGGCTTCAACTGAACAACAAGCCAGGAAATGTTTGTGAATTGAAATGAATGTGAAACCGTTTTTATACTAGCTTGTGCTAGCGCTGAAAGTACTTCTCTTCTCCCATACTGCATAATGAAAGGCAAGAACTTAAAAGTTGAGTTCATGGACGAGATGCCTTCTGGCTCAGTTGTAAAAATGTTACAAAAATCTTCTTACGTCACTAGTGAAATTTTTCTGCATTCTGTGGCTAAAAAGTCATTTCCAACCTAGAAAACCAACCGGCAAAGTACTCCTCTTACACTTCACACACCGGTTCCTTGTAAGTCATAGTGAACACGAAGCAAAAATAAATCAGTTTGATGATGAGTCCGTCCCATACTTCGCACTGGCTACAACCTTTGAACCAATCCTTTTTCAAATCACTTAAGTCCTACTTTTATAGTGCTTGTAATTATTTCATTACAAACAATCCATTCAGAAAGATCAATCGTCCGCAGTTTGGAAAACTTCTCAACTCTGCATGTACCAAAACTGCAGGTGTACAAAACGGTGTAAGTAGGTGTCAGGCTTATGGCATAGTCGCTCTAGATATGTCTGTAATACCAGCCTACGCCTACCTAGAGCCCGATTCCTCCGGTGCAGTGCCCATTGTCCAAGTATTGGCGCACACTCTCGCTAGTGCACTCGCTGTTTTTTTGTTATTGTAACATTTATTATTATGTAAAATATACATATTTTTTACTTTATACTTGGTTTGTAGTCACTGATTCGACTTTTTACCCTTGGTCCATCTCTCCCAAGCTACTGGTCCATTTCAACCAGATACGTCCGGGTGAGATGGACCATGAAAAGTTTTGGAAAAAATGCAATTTAGCCTTTATTAATAATATTCAATTAGAAAATAAACTCTTAAGGGTATAAAACTAAATTCTTTACCAAACGCTTAAAATAATAATGTTAATAAGTTGACAAATATAATTTTGGTGACGTCAAAAGAAATGTGGTCCAACTCTCCCGGACTTACCCTATGTTTAAAAAATGATAATCTTGGCTGTTTCGAAAACGCAACACTGGGTAGGTCGGATGTAAAAAACATTACAAATAAGTTATTTGAAATGTTTTATTAAATCATAGAAAATATAGGAATGATAAAGGACGCATCGGGTTCGTTTTTTATGGGTATAAATAAAATGGCCGATGTTATCGAATCGAACATCTTATGTAATGTTTTTAATGGACGATTGAGATGGACCCTGTGATCAACAGACCTATAAAGCTCTCTCCAGAGATATTCAACGAAGATGCCGAAAAGACAAACAAGAATACATCTCTGAAATCTGCCAAGAAATAGAAAATCACGGATATCGAAATGAAACCAAAGACCTCTTCCGGAAAGTGAAAATTCTTGCGAGAGAATTTAAACCCAAGAACTATGCAATAGAGGACAAACATGGTATTATTATAAGTGATATCGACAGAGTGTTGGAAACATAGAAAAACTACTGTTCAGAGCTCTACAGGGAAGAACACGTAAATCTAGGCCACACTTCAGCCCTCGAAAACACTGAATACAACCCTGAACCTGAAATTCTGCTGTCCGAGATTGAAGAAGCTGTAACTCACCTCAAGAAGAATAAATCCCCTGGCTGCGATGATATCACGGGAGAGCTCCTTTAGAACATGGGAGACAAAGGATGTTACATAATGTGGAAACTTTGTAATAAAATTTGGAGATGCGGAAAGTGGCCCAGAGAATGGCGCACATCATTGTGCATACCAATCCATAAAAAAGGAACAACTACAAAGTGTAGTAATTATCGTACCATCTCACTGATTTCCCATCCAAGCAAAATATTACTAAGAATCATTAAACGCCGTTTGCAACAGTACTTAGACAACCAAATTCCCCAAGAACAAGCAGGCTTTGTCAAAGGGAAGGGTACGAGAGAGCAAATCCTTAATATGCGGCAGCTCATAGAAAAGGCCCGCGAATTTAAAATTCCAATAATAATCTGTTTTCTAGACTACCAAAAGGCATTTGATTGTGTAAAGTGGGAAGTTCTCTGGACAGTTCTTCATGAGATGGGAGTTCCAGATCATTTGGCAATATTAATTAAAAACTTATACGAAGATAACTCAGTTAAAATAAGAATTGAAAACCAGCAATCTGATACCTTCAAAACCAGCAGAGGTGTACGACAAGGCTGCATACTATCTCCAGACCTGTTCAATTTATATGGAGAATACATAATGAGGAACGCACTTGATGGATGGAGAGGCGGCATCTCCATTGCAGGGAAAAAGATCTCAAACTTAAGATTCGCAGACGATACAACACTGATAGCAACATCTGAAGAGGAGATGTCGAGACTGATAAAGAGAGTAGAAACCGAAAGCAACAAGTGTGGGCTCAAGATTAATAATCAGAAAACAAAAATCATGATTGTGGACCACGCGAATATCCTCCAAACAACAGGCGCCCTAAATCAATTCGAGAAAGTAGACGAGTTCACGTATCTAGGATCTTCCTTAAGCAATGCAGCCTCCTGCCATACGGAAATTCGCAGAAGAATAGGAATGGCCAAGAACGCGATGAGTCGACTGTCAAAAATATGGAAGGACCGCTCTTTGTCTAAAAAACTCAAAATGAGACTGGTACGGACACTCGTTTTTTCAATCTTTAGTTACGGTGCCGAAACATGGACAATAAAATCAGAGGATAGGAAAAGGATTGACGCATTCGAAATGTGGTGCTGGAGACGAATGCTACGGCTCGTCTCGTGGACGGAGCACAGATCCAATCAGTCGATTCTCGAAGAGCTAAACATTCAGACCAGACTCTCCTCTCAGTGTCTTGCAAATGTTTTAAAGTTTTTTGGCCACATTGCGAGAAGAGACAATGACAACTTAGAAAGACTAATTGTGTGCGGAAACGTAGAAGGACGTAGAGGCCGAGGACGCTCACCTATCCGATGGTCAGATCAAGTACAGAAAGCCACTGGAGAGACGTTTTCCGAGTCCAAGAGAGCAGCCCAAAATCGCAAGAGATGGAGAGAATTGACAGCCCGCATTGTAGGGAATCACGATCCTCAGCAATGAGGAAACGACAAGAGAGAGAGAGAGAGAGAGAGAGAGAGAGAGAGAGAGAGAGAGGAGAGAGAGAGAGAGAGAGAGAGATGGACCCGGTCTTCTTTAAGAAGTTCCAAACATCGTTAACAAGGCTTTGGCTATATTTCGATGAAACTGCAGCAAATCCATTTCGGGTTCTTCGCGTTTTCTCAAGAATATGCCTGATTGTGAGGATTTGATCCATTGTTGATTTATTGGGTCGGAAACCGCACTGGTAGTTCCCAACTATTTTAATAACATACTCAGTTTCCAACATTTATCTTTAGTTATCTTTTATTGCAGTCACTAGACAATAACCAAATACCAAATTCTAAAAACCCTAAACGACAAACATTACCTGTATATAATTTTATGATTTACTACTTCAGTTCTTTTAAAAAAGCTTTAAAGTAGCTTGTGTAAAACAAATAACGTGTTAAA